CGTAGACCTGATCATTAGTATTGATGTCTTCATAACACTGTTGTCTCCCATAACTCTGTTGTCTCTTATAACACTGCTGTCTCCCAAAAATGTTGTCTCCCATAACACTATTGTCTCCAAAAACTGTTGTCTCCCATAACACTGTTGTATCCCATAACACTGTTGTCTCCCATAACCCTGTTGTCTCTCATAACTCTGTTGTCTCTCATAACAATGCTGTCTCCCATAAATGTTGTCTCTCATAACCCTGTTGTCTCTCATAACTGTTGTCTCTCATAACACTGTTGTCTTCCATAACACTGTTGCCTCCCAAAACTCTGTTGTCTCCCATAACTGTTGTCTCCCATAACACTATTGTCTCCCATAACACTGTTGTTTCCCCATAACACTATTGTCTCCAATAACTGTTGTCTCCCATAACACTATTGTCTCCCATAACACTGTTGTTTCCCCTTAACACTGTTGTCTCCCATAACTCTGTTGTCTCCCATAACTCTGTTGTCTCTCATAACACTGCTGTCTCTCATAACACTGTTGTATCCCATAACACTGTTGTCTCCCATAAACCTGTTGTCTCCTATAACTCTGTTGTCTCTCATAACAGTGCTGTCTCCCATAAATGTTGTCTCCCATAACACTGTTGTCTCTCATAACACTGTTTTCTTCCAAAACACTGTTGCCTCCCAAAACTCTGTTGTCTCCCATAACTGTTGTCTCCCATAATACTATTGTCTCTAATATTTGTCGTCTCCCATAACACTGTTGTATCCCATAACACTGTTGTCTCCCATAAACCTATTGTCTATTACAACTCTGTTGTCTCTCTTAACAGTGCTGCCTCCCATAAATGTTGTCTTCCATAACACTGTTGTCTCTCCTAACACTGTTTTCTTCCATAACACTGTTGCCTCCCAAAACTCTGTTGTCTTCCATAACTGTTGTCTCCCATAACACTATTGTCTGCCATAACACTGTTGTCTCCCATAACACTGTTGTTTCCCATTACTATGTTGTCTCCCAAAACTCGGCTGTCTCCCATAACTCTGTTGTCTCCCATAACTGTTGTCTCCCATAGCATTGTTGTCTCCCATAACACTGTTGTCTCTCATAACTCTGTTTTCTCCCATAGCTGTTGTCTCCCATAGCACTGTTGTCTCCCATAACTGTTGTCTCCCATAACACTGTTGGCTCCCATAATTCTGTGATATTCTATAACTCTGTTGTCTCCCATAACTGTTGTCTCCCATAGCACTGTTGTCTCCCATAACTCTGTTGTGTCCCATAACTCTGTTGTCTCCCATAACTGTTGTCTCCCATAGCACTGTTGTCTCTCATAACACTGTTGTCTCCAATAGCACTGTTGTCTCTCATAACACTGTTGTCTCCCATAACTTTCTTGTCTCCCATAACACTGTTGTCTCCCATAACTGCTGTCTCCCATAGCATTGTTGTCTGCCATAACACTGTTTTCTCCCATAACTCTGTTGTCTCCCATAACTGTTGTCTTCCATAGAACTGTTGTCTCCCATAACTGTTGTCTCCCATAACACTGTTGTTTCCCATAACTCTGTTGTCTCCCATAACACTGTTGTATCCCAAAACACAGTTGTCTCCCTTAAACCTATTGTCTCTTATAACTCGGTTGTCTCTCATAGCAGTGCTGTCTCCCATAAATGTTGTCTCCCATAACACACTTGTCTCCCATAACTCTGTTGTCTCCCATAACTGTTGTCTCTCATAGCACTGTTGTCTCCCATAACACTGTTGTTTCCCCATAACACTATTGTCTCCCATTACTGTTGTCTCCCATAGCACTGTTGTCTCCCATAACTATTGTCTCCCATAACACTGTTGTCTCCCATAACTCTGTTGTCTCCTAAAACTCTGCTGTCTCCATTAACTGTTGTCTCCCATAACACTGTTGTCTCTCATAACACTGTTGTCTCCCATAGCACTGTTGTCTCTCATAACTGTTGTCTCCCAAAACACTATTGTCTGCCATAACACTGTTGTCTCCCATAACACTGTTTTCTCCCATAACACTGTTGTCCCCCATAACTCTGCTGTCTCCCATAACTCTGTTGTCTCCCATAACTGTTATCTCCCATAGCATTGTTGTCTCCAATAACACTGCTATCTCCCATAACTCTGTTTTTTCCCATAACTGTTGTCTCCTATAGCACTGTTGTCTCCCATAACTGTTGTCTCCCATAACACTGTTGTCTCCCATAACTCTGTTGTCTCCTATAACTCTGCTGTCTCCATTAACTGTTGTCTCCCATAGCACTGTTGTCTCCCATAACTCGGTTGTGTCCCATAACTCTGTTGTCTCTTATAACTGTTGTCTCCCATAGCACTGTTGTCTCTCATAACACTGTTGTCTCAAATAGCACTGTTGTCTCTCATAACACTGTTGTCTCCCATAACACTCTTGTCTCCCATAACAATGTTGTCTCCCATAACTCTGTTGTCTCCCATAACTGTTGTCTCCCATAACTGTTGTCTCCCATAACACTGTTGTCTCCCATAACACTGTTGTTTCCCATAACACTGTTGTCTCCCATAACTCTGTTGTCTCCCATAACTCTGTTGACTCCTATAACTGTTGTCTCCCATAACTGTTGTCTCCCATAACTCTGTTGTCTCCCATAACTGTTGTCTCCCATAACACTGTTGTCTCTCATAACTCTGTTGTCTCCCATAACTCTGTTATCTCCCATAACTGTTGTCTCCCATAGCACTGTTGTCTCCCATAACTCTGTTGTCTCTCTAACTCTGTTGTCTCCCATAGCACTGTTGTCTCTCATAACACTATTGTCTCCCATAACACTCTTGTCTCCTATAACTCTGTTGTCTACCATAACTGTTGTTTCCCATAACACTGTTGTCTCCCATAACTCTGTTGTCTCCCATAACTGTTGTCTCTCATAGGACTGTTGTCTCCCATAACAGTGTTGTCTCTCATAACTCTGTTGTCGCTCATTTCTCTGTTGTCTCCCATAACAATGTTGTCCCCCACAACACTGTTGTCTCCCATAACTCTGTTGTCTCCCACAACACAGTTGTCTCCTATAACTCTGTTGTCTCTCATAATTGTTGTCTCCCTTAACACTGTTTTCTTCCTTAACACAGTTGTCTCCCACAACACTGTTTTCTCTCATAACTGTTGTCTCTCATAACTCTGTTGTCTCCCATAACACTGTTGTCTCTTATAACTGTTGTCTCTCATAACACTGTTGTCTCCCATAACACTGTTGTCTCTCATAATTGTTGTCTCACATAACACTGTTGTCTCCCATTACACTCTTGTCTCCCACAACACTGTTGTCTCCCATAACACTGTTGTCTCCAATTACACTGTTGTCTCCCATACCACTGTTGTCTCCCACAACACTGTTGTCTCCCATAACACTGTTGTCTCCCATAACACTCTTGTCTCCCATAACACTCTTGTCTCCCATAACACTCTTGTCTCCCATAACACTCTTGTCTTCCATAACTCTGTGCATCTGTGGATCGGTGGTGTTACACTATGGATGGGTTTGTAGTTGACCTTTGCCCTCTGTCTTTAGCAACATCTGTGTGTAAGTGCATGTCTGAGTGGCACTAATATAGCATGTACATTCTTAAATGCCCACAGTTGAGGATTGTATTCAACCACACTTAGTTCCTAAAGTATATAGAATATCCCTAAACTTGATATTAGATTTTTCATGAGTGTTTGTTGGTTTTATGCTAGTAACACACACACACACACACACACACACACACACACACACACACACACACACACACACACACACACACACACACACACACACACACACACACACACACACACACACACACACACACACACACACACACACACACACACACACACACACACACACACACACACACACACACACACACACACACACACACACACACACACACACACACACACACACACACACACACACACACACACACACACACACACACACACACACACACACACACACACACACACACACACACACACACACACACACACACACACACACACACACACACACACACACACACACACACACACACACACACACACACACACACACACACACACACACACACACACACACACACACACACACACACACACACACACACACACACACACACACACACACACACACACACACACACACACACACACACACACACACACACACACACACACACACACACACACACACACACACACACACACACACACACACACACACACACACACACACACACACACACACACACACACACACACACACACACACACACACACACACACACACACACACACACACACACACACACACACACACACACACACACACACACACACACACACACACACACACACACACACACACACACACACACACACACACACACACACACACACACACACACACACACACACACACACACACACACACACACACACACACACACACACACACACACACACACACACACACACACACACACACACACACACACACACACACACACACACACACACACACACACACACACACACACACACACACACACACACACACACACACACACACACACACACACACACACACACACACACACACACACACACACACACACACACACACACACACACACACACACACACACACACACACACACACACACACACACACACACACACACACACACACACACACACACACACACATACATGCATACACACACACATGCACTGACACATGTGCACATGCACACACACACACATATACATGTATGCACATGTGCACATGTATGCATGCACCCACACACACTTTCAAGGATATATTTCAAAATATAACTGTCTTACTGGTCCCATAAACTGAATGTCCGTGCTTGAAGAGTTTGCTGAAGAAGTCAGCCAATGTCATTTGTCTATGGGCTGCTCTGATCTGAATGTAATGACATTCTCCCAGTCAAAGGGGCAGCCATTGCCAGTAAAGCCCTGAGTCCAATCCACGAGATGGTACTTGATGGCAGTGACTCAGAGCTGCAGCAGAAGTCACCTCAGGGTTCTGGGAAGATTCACCGGCACAAGGCTCCAATTCAGGATCTGGAGGTGAGAGAAAATCTTTACAGTTATCTGCTCTTGTCTTCTGCTTGACAATCCTAGTTTGTTAAGTGCGTGTCTTGGAGCAGGGGCTCATGTCTACAGTGGCCCTTTCTCATATTCTAGCAGGTTGGATATTGCTCAAGATTTGGATTAGTCTACAATATTGAATTTATAGATGTTATTTTCTCCATTGTATAGACAATGCAGCGTCTGTGGCTTAGGTGTTGCAAATGCGTGTCTGTGGGAAACTTTCTGTATTTACTCATTAGGTACTTTAGTAGTACTCTTTGTCCTTTTCTCTGTTACTTACTGTCCTCTGTTACTGACTGTCCTTTCTTTCTCTCTCACTCTCATTTAATATCCTAATTCTCTCTCTTTCACCTAATATCCCTTATCTTTCACATAATATCATAACTCTCTCTTTCATTCAATATCCTAATTATCTCTCTTTCATCTAATATCCTAACTCTCTCTTGCTCTTTCTCTCACACTCTCTTGATATCTCAATTCTCTCTCTCACCTTCTCTCTCCCTCTCACTTAATATCCTAACTTTCTCTTTCACTCTCCATCTCTCTCATTTAATGTCCTAACTCTCTGTTTCCTCTCTTACACTGACAGACATATGTAATAACTAATACCAAGAGTCAGTGAAGAATCAAGACTTTCCTCTGATAGAACAGTGTGATGACATAAATAGACAAGCACATTTTAGCACTGAGTTTGCTAGGGTGAACTGTGTCACAGCTGCAGAAGGGCATGTTACTTATCAAGACTGGGGTCTGGCTGCTCTCCATGGCAGCATCATGACCTTCCGCCCACCATTACCCTGGGGTTGATCCCACCTTGAAATATTGATACTGGATATTTTATGACATGTCTGGGAAGTAGGGCTGCCATGTGGACTAGATTAAAACATGACTTTGTATGTGTGTAAGATTACAGGAACGATACCTTGGCGGCAATATCTGTCATGAGAATATCTTTATCTGCACTGCTTATTCCAAAGTAGGTGCCATATGTAAAACTTGCTGTGTCCTTGACCTGCTATGTCCTTGACCCACCTTATCCTTGACCTGCTGTGTCCTTGGCCTGGTAACATTGTACACCTTTCTCAGTCCCATCCTGTAGGAAAGAGCTGCGATTATGTCCAGACAGTCTTCGATGTCCACGGCAAGAGTCCACTTGTGGAGCATTTTCTCAGACTAAAGGGTTTGAACCACAAGGCTGGACAGCTAGTGCTGGTTCAGAGGCTAGAGCTGGAGAATCTGCCACCATATCCTTTGGTGAAGTTTTTTTCTCATGTCATTTTTGCAGGTGGACAACTACTGTTATTTATAGTCATCATCATCATCCAATGCCTTGCTGACCGGCGTGGACAATCATGCCTTGCCACAATTTGTGATCTTTAACTGTGTATCAGTTCATGTGTTGACACCCCTTCATGAGGAAAGACTTTCAAAATCTTCTCACGCTGTCTTCCTCTGTCTCTCTTTCTTCAAATCTTTTCAGTGGTCCCATCATTTTCTAATTTTCTTGACTGTCTCTTTCTGATGTTTGTGATAGTGTGTCTTTGAGTCCTTGTGGTAGATATCACTATTTTGTTAGGTGTGCCATCATTTTTTTTTCATGGCTTGACTTCAAGAATTTTGCAATGTGCAAGATCATCTTATTCAATAAATCCCTGGTTTGGTTAGAAGTTGGCAAAACAATTACTGTATACTAAAAAGAAAAAAACCATTTTCAATGTAGAACCTTTTTCACCATAGAACCAGTTTTAACAAAACCCTGTCAGTCCTGGACAACGAGTAACAAAGCAAAAAACATCCCTTGAACCTATATTAATATGATTTTATAGGAGAATGTTAACAATGTCTTTGGCAGCCCATGTGGAGAATGGCCCCATGGTGTCACTGAAGCTCAACTGATCAAAAAAATCAGACATACTGTTCTCACTCAAGTTATTTATTCAATGTCCAATCAACATCTGATCACTAACATAAGGTATTCTGTCCTAACTCAAATTATTTATTCACGGTCTAATCAAGGACTGATCACTAATGTCAGGTATTCTGTCCTCACTCAAATTATTTATTCACTGTCCAATCAATGACTGATCACTAATGTCAGGTATTCTGTGCTCACTCAGATTATTTATTCACTGTCCAAATCAATGACGGATCACTAATGTCAGGTATTCTGTCCTCACTCAAGCTGTTTATTCGAGAAAGGAAGGGGGGGGGGGGGGGGGGGGGGGGTCGGTCTGCATGGTCTCAAGGCATGGTGTCTGCTTTGAGTACTAGAGGTTCCGAGTTCAATCCCTGGCACAGGCTGGGATTTTTTCACAATATTATATGTCAATATGATGCCAAATGTGTGCATAATAGTTGACCGCACCTACGATTTTCCTTGACACATTGTCTACTCTGGATGCTTCAACCTATAAAGATGTTATCATAAGCTCCTCCAGGAGCATGCGGCACAGGAAGATGCTGTTTAAGGAGTGAGTTTTTCTCTCTCTCTCTCTCTCTCTCTCTCTCTCTCTCTCTCTCTCTCTCTCTCTCTCTCTCTCTCTCTCTCTCTCTCTCTCTCTCTGTGTATGTGTGTTTATGTGTATGTGTGCATGTGGGGTGTATGTGTGTGCATGTGTGTGTGCATGGGTGTGTGCATGTGTATGTATGTGTGTGTGAGGGTGGATGAGTACGCGTGCATTTAGAGACAGTTATGGGCAGGTCAATTGCCTCAGCAGCTGTTAGTAGTAATTTTCAAATGCACACGAGACCTACAGTTTCTTGACATCATCTGTGAAGACAAGGGATCCAATTCACTACCCCAAGATTAGAGTCTGACTTTATGTGTGGGCTTGCAACTGCAATTCTTGAGTCAGAAGTCTGAGCCTGAATGTGATTAGTCTACTGTAACTCTGAGTGTGGAGTTGGTCTGAGTATAGACATCCTATTGTAACTATGAAAGTAGAGTCATCCTAAGTGTGGACTCCCTGCTGTGTAGAATCTAAGTGACTCCTTACTGTAGCGTAAAGTCTGACTATGTAACTTCAGTTTCAGGTGATGGTCAGTCATAACACATTGAAGTTCCTTGCTTGAGGTCAGATAACTGAATTATCAGCACAGGTCACCAGCAAGATGACCTGCACAGGCATGTGCACATCTGGGAAACAGTTCAGCCTGGATGTTATACATAGCTTCAACTTGTGGAGTCTCAACTGCTAGACCTACTCTAACTGGTCTTTAGACACTTTGAATTGGGCAAGGTTTACTAGGAAATGATACTAATAATGAGATTATGATCATTAATTCTGCCAGGCAAGAGATTCGTGGAAAAAATGTGATGCTGTTTTTATTTTGTGTCATCACTCTTATCTGCAGGCAGCAGAGCCACAATGTCAAGGTTGCCCGAGCACGTATCAGTGAATGCAAGAAACAGGTCAGAGAGCACATCCGCAGACAGACATCACTGCTGGCCGACCAGGAGAGGGTCAAGAAACTCAGTGACCTTATTATCATGGAGCAGAGAGTAAGTTAGGCACACTTGTGGCATACAGATATTATTTGTTGCATGTGTAGATCAGGCCTCATCCTTGACTTATATTTATACTTAGTTCTTTAGATCATGCCTCATTAGATATGCCTAATTTTATGTTATTTTAAATCTCCGCCCTGGCTGTCGTAAGGGGTCCTGAGTGAGTGAGTGACATTCAACCTCACCAGGACTGCACAGCGACTGATCAACACCCAGTAAAACAAAGTGTTACCTTTCGAATGAGAAATCTGGTTTAACCATTAGGGTATATTAGCTCCTCCTACAACAGCCGGGGTGGCAACCCTGGTAGGGTTGAACGTCACTGGTCCTGCCTCATTCCTGACTTACTTTTACGTTTCTTCTTGGTTGGGTAGGGAAAAAAAAAAAAAAAAAACTATTGTTTAGAAGGGAACTAATTAATGAATTCTATAAAATATACCACAGTTTGTTCCCTTTGGAAATTGATCTGTTCTCACAGCATTCTCACGACTTTCCCTCTAATGTGCATTGTCCCACTACTTTCCCTCTAATGTTCACTGTCCTACTACTTTCCTTCTGATGTCCCCTTACCATCCGACTAGTTTCTTCTTATGTCCTAATACTGAGTTAATAGTTTCTTTCTGCTGTCCCAGTACTTTTCCTCTACTGTCCAATTTCTTTCTGTCTCAAATTCCACTACTGTCACTTTATCTTTTGTGTGTGGTAGGTTACTTATTGGTGTGCTCCTAATTTATGGTTTTGCTGCTCTGATGTAGGAGTTAATTACTCATCTCTGATGTAGGAGTTAATCACTCATCTCTGTTGTAGGAGTTAATCACTCATCTCTGTTGTAGGAGTTAATCACTCATCTCTGATATAGGAGTTAATCACTCATCTCTGATGTAGGAGTTAATCACTCATCTCTGATGTAGGAGTTAATCACTCATCTCTGATGTAGGAGTTAATCACTCATCTCTGATGTAGGAGTTAATCACTCATCTCTGATGCAGGAGTTAATCACTCATCTCTGATGTAGGAATTAATCACTCATCTCTGATGTAGGAGTTAATCACTCATCTCTGATGTAGGAGTTAATCACTCATCTCCGATATAGGAGTTAATCACTCATCTCTGATGTAGGAGTTAATCACTCATCTCTGATGTAGGAGTTAATCACTCATCTCTGATGCAGGAGTTAATCACTCATCTCTGATGTAGGAGTTAATCACTCATCTCTGATGTAGGAGTTAATCACTAATCTCTGATGCAGGAGTTAATCACTCATCTCTGATGTAGGAGTTAATCATTCATCTCTGTTGTAGGAGTTAATCACTCATCTCTGATGTAGGAGTTAATCACTCATCTCTGATGTAGGAGTTAATCACTCATCTCCGATGTAGGAGTTAATCACTCATCTCTGATGTAGGAGTTAATCACTCATCTCTGATGTAGGAGTAGATGATCATTCACATCCATTACTGTAATAACTGATGATTAATATTCACTCTTTTCAATCTCCAGAGAAGTAAAAACTCGGTAACTGCAGGAGCTGATGCAGCACTCACAGCATCCCTGATGTCTGAGCACTGATTGGTTTAACAACATCCCTTATGTGTGAGCACTGATTGGTTTAAAAACATCCCTGATGTCTGAGCACTGATTGGTTTAACAACATCCCTGATGTGTACACTTTGGTCTAACAACATCCCTTATGTGTGAGCACTGATTGGTTTAATAACATCTCTGATGTCTGAGCACTGATTGGTTTAACAACATCCCTGATGTGTACACTTTGGTCTAACAACATCCCTTATGTGTGAGCACTGATTGGTTTAACAACATCCCTGATGTCTGAGCACTGATTGGTTTAACAAAATCTCTGATGTTTGAGCACAGTTTGATCTAACAATATCCCTGATGTGTGAGCACTGATTGGTTTAACAACATCCCTGATGTGTGAGCGCTGATTGGTTTAACAATATCCCTGATGTGTGAGCACTGATTGGTTTAACAATATCCCTGATGTGTGAGCACTGATTGGTTTAACAACATCCCTGATGTGTGAGCGCTGATTGGTTTAACAACATCCCTGATGTGTGCAGTTTGGTTTAACAACATCCCTGATGTGTGAGCACTAATTGGTTTAACAACATCCCTGATGTGTGAGCATATTTGGTTTAACAACATCCCTGATGTGTGAGCACTTTTTGGTTTAACAACACAACTCATGTTAAATGAGGCAGACACAAACAACACCCTGAACAATTTATTGCCTTATATATTTTACTCTACATTAAAAGCTCCAGGGGAGGATAACAGGCATCTCAAGGGCCAGAACAGAGCCACTCAAGGATGAGGTCAACTCTAACAGCTACAAGTAGTCTGGGAAATAAGTAATTTCAACACACACATACACAAACACAACATGCACGCATGCACACACACACGCACACAACATGCACACCAACACACACACACAGACACACACACATCTCTGCACACTGTCATGGCCATAGACCACAACAGAATAGCAATTACTTGCATAAGAGCAGATTATCCATGTAATTGCTCTGTAAGCTGGACTGCACTCACTGCGGAGGCACACAAAAGCAGTGTTTCTATCAAATAATTACCCGCATGTTGGCAACACTGCTCTCTAGTGCAGTCAAACAGGCTGGTGTACAACCTCATCGTGGCCACCTGCAGACATAGAACGGCATCTGAGAAATACATACTTGGGCCTTGCTGTCAGAAGACAGTCTACCAGTCTAAATAAGCACCTATCAGGATACTGACTTGAGACAAAACATCACATGGTCTCAGTGGTAACACGGCTGTAAATCAGCTCAGAAAAGTGACTGACACAACACAGATGTTCGTTGCCGAAGGTTACATCGTGTGACAGAGACTTCATTTGAGAGGCAAATCCAGTTCACATTTATGTCAGGGGTCTTCACTTTACGTACATTTCTCTGGGTCTTGGAGGAAAAGCCTCCTCATTGAGTTTACCCATGCACAACTCCACACCTTTACCTACACATTATCAACAAAATATATCTCCTCCATTAACTCTTTACGGACGTTTAGCCAGTATACTGGCGATTAAGTCTATCCCTTAAAGACATATTGCCAGTATACTGGATCATGATGGAGACACTCTTATTTTGTTCCGTTTGTAGGGAAACGAACTAATATGAACAGGTTTTTGAACACAGGATTAAAAACAGGAAGTCCTTTCATTTGCGATGTGCATCGTGGTTTGTGCTTTATTATCTTATTTTTTAAAAATTATTCAGATGGGATACAATTTTTACGGGATTTTTCTATACTAAATGATAAGCGGGAAAGGTGTAGAACTGCCCATACTGCTCTGTCGTTGATGAATCTCTGCCAGATGGTGACAACAGTCTTGATATTATGATTGATATCTAAGATATTTAAGTGACACATCTACTAGTGATAATTTAGTTTAGGATATGAAATTTTCACAAAATATTTCAATCAGATCAGTGTTTTGATCAGCTGATTTTCTGATTTTTGGTTGTTGTGAACATTGAATTGTCTTACAAAAATGATCTTAACATTAGAAGTTTTAAAAATAATTGCTTTAAATAAAGACTAGCTAATACATAATTGAACAGAGAAGGCATGTGCATTCTAAGAATTGGATAGAAATGTTGCTGAACAAGTAAAAAATAAGGTAAGCACAACATTTTTTTCCGTCAATAATTTTCATGTGTCTAACATCCTTGAGTGATGTGTGATTTTAAGAAAATATTGGTCCTTTTGTCTTCCGAAGAGATCCTGGTCCTATGATATAATGCCTTCATTATCTGTAATGTATAATTAAGATTGATCTGAGTAAATTGTGTCCATGTATGTGCCATTTGCTCATTATGTATTTATATGTGCACTTGATTCATTAATTAAACTAATATCACTGAAAGTGTTTTTTGTTGGTCTTTGATTTCAGCGTGATTGTCATGGTCTGCTGTAAGGTCATCTTGGCACTTCTGTGATCAGCCAGACAATTATGTTATCAGCCAGACAATTATGTGATCAGCTAGACAATTATGTGATCAGCTAGACAATTATGTGATCAGCTAGACAATTATGTGATCAGCTAGACAATTATGTGATCAGCTAGACAATTTTGTGATCAGCTAGACAATTATGTGATCAGCTAGACAATTATGTGATCAGCTACACAATTATGTGATCAGCTAGACAATTATATGATCAGCTAGACAATTATGTGATCAGCTAGACAATTATATGATCAGCTAGACAATTATGTGATCAGCTAGACAATTATGTGATCAGCTAGACAATTTTGTGATCAGCTAGACAATTATGTGATCAGCTAGACAATTATGTGATCAGCTAGACAATTATGTGATCAGCTAGACAATTATATGATCAGCTAGACAATTTTGTGATCAGCTAGACAATTATATGGTCAGCTAGACAATTTTGTGATCAGCTAGACAATTATATGATCAGCTAGACAATTTTGTGACCAGCTAGACAATTTTGTGATCAGCTAGACAATTATATGATCAGCTAGACAATTTTGTGATCAGCTAGACAATTATATGATCAGCTAGACAATTATGTGATCAGCTAGACAATTATGTGATCAGCTAGACAATTTTGTGATCAGCTAGACAATTATGTGATCAGCTAGATAATTATGTGATCAGATAGACTATTTTTGTTGGTCAGCTAGACAATTTTGTGATCAGCTAGACAATTTTGTGATCAGCTAGACAATTTTGTGATGAGATAGACAATTTTTGTTGGTCAGCTAGACAATTGTGTGATCAGCTAGACAATTTTGTGATCGGCTAGACCATTATGTGATCAGCTAGACAATTATGTGATCAGCTAGACAATTATGTGATCAGCTATACAATTATGTGATCAGCTAGACAATTTTGTGATCAGCTAGACAATTATGTGATCAGATAGACAATTTTTGTTGGTCAGCTAGACAATTATCTGATCTGATAGACAAAAATGTAGTCAGCCAGGCAATTATATGATCGAATTGGTCACTTTTGTGTCTGCTAGACAATGTGATCAGATAGGTCAATATTTGGTCATCTAGACAATTTTGTGATCAGCTAGACAATTATGTGATCAGCTAGACAATTATGTGATCAGCTAGACAATTTTGTGATCAGCTAGACAATTATGTGGTCAGCTAGACAATTATGTGATCAGCTAGACAATTAAATGATCAGCTAGACAATTATATGATCAGCTAGACAATTATGTGATCAGCTAGACAATTATGTGATCAGCTAGACAATTATGTGATCAGCTAGACAATTATGTGATCAGCTAGACAATTATGTGATCAGCTAGACAATTATGTGATCAGATAGGCAATTTTTGTTGGTCAGCTAGACAATTATCTGATCTGATAGACAAAAATGTAGTCAGCCAGACAATTATATGATCGAATTGGTCACTTTTGTGTCGGCTAGACAATGTGATCAGATAGGTCAGTATTTGGTCAGCAAGACATTTATATGTTCCTTTTGTGTGTGACAGCTAAATATTTTATACTACGTTCCAGCTATTGAAATTTTAGCTGGTGACTAGTGTCAGGTAGAGACTACTATTATGGTCAGGTAATAGTACAACAGACATCGGATTAGGCTGTATCTAAACTATTCTTTCATATGGGTTGGTTGGATCTGAACTATTCTTTCGCATGGGTAAACTGGGTCTGAAATATTCTTTCATATGGATGGGCTGGAATTGAACTATTCTTTCACATGGACGGGCTGGATCTAAACAATTCTTTCACATGGGTGGTTGGATCTGAACTATTCTTTCACATGGATGGGCTGGATCTTAACTATTATTTCACATGGGTGGTTGGATGTGAACTATTCTTTCACATGGGTGAATTGGATCTGAATAATTCTTTCACATGAGTGTATTGGATCTAAACTATCCTTCACATTGGTGGGTTAGATCTGAACAATTCTTTCATATGTGTGGTTGGATCTGAACAATTCTTTCTTATGAGTGTGTTGGATTTGAACTATCCTTCTGTTGGATTTGAACTATCCTTCACACTGGTGGGTTGGATCTGAAGGATTCTTTCACAAGGGTGGGTTGGATCTCTACAGTTCGTTCACAAAGGTCTTCCTCTCCTATATCCTGTTTTAAGCACCAAGTTTGACCATACGTTGATCTCAGATATTTATATAAATTATTTTCCCTTGTAGTCTCTAGCGCTGTTCAAACTTGGGAACACAATTTTTGTTTTTAAAATTGTGTCTGTTAACCTCTAGCCATTCATTCAATCAAACTGGGATCAGTCAGTCCAACCGATGCCAGTCAATTCAACCGGGATCAGTCAGCTCAACTAGGATCAGTCAGTCCAACTGAAGCCAGTCAGTCGAACTGGGATCAGTCAGTCAAACTGACGCCAGTCAATCCAACTAGGATCAGTCAGTCCAACTGGAGTCAGTCAATCCAACTGGGATCAGTCAGTCCAACTGACGCCAGTCAGTCCAACTAGGATCAGTCAGTCCAACTGAGCTTAGTAAGAAGCCTCAATGATGTTATTC